ACAGTGTGTATACCCGCAACTCCTGTATGCGGATAATAGAATCCTCAGCGATTTTGAGCTACGCATATCCCGCATAAACGCCTTTACGGATAAAGATTTATCGGTGCAGCTAAAAAGTTCACATTGCACTGCTTGTTTGTTACCCTGCACCGTACAGCATTTCGTATGAGGATCCATTTCGACAATTATTGTGCCCATCTGGCTAGCCGTGTACTGTACTTCAGTATTGCCGTCTCCAGGCTGTCATGTATAACTTTGTTCCACTGAGTGGGGCTATCCAGGCAGTTTTTCTACCAGTCTACCTCACGTCCACATTACTGATAATTTGGCTGCCTCGTCGACCTTTGTTTACCAAATGTTGGAGCATTCAGCAGAACTCACATTTGGCATTGCAGTGACCTCACGAGCAACGTCATATTTCACACTGTCAGAGAGGTAAGGCGGTATTTCGCACCTCCTCACCGAAAGTTATGTTAGATTTAGTGGTTTCACATGCAAAAACATTCAGGATGTCCTTTTGGGAACTAATTCCAACCCTGTCAATTCACCTTACTGGTCGTGGAATGCCAATCCCTACCTAAGAATGGAGGTGTGCAGTTTAATCCGTTTCACACTGACAACATACTCATCAACCTTGATAATGTCGATGGTGGTATTTGCAGACCAACCTTTCAGTTTAATACAACTTATTTCGGGTACAGGATTTGTTTCTTTGACCTTGAAATCAAATACAATAACAAGTGGACTGCTTGACGTGCATAGTAGGAACTTAGACTATCCCATCACTGTGAAATAAGGTTATTTTTTTCTTCCAAGTAGTGACGTAGACCGTGTTGTGAGTGAATAAGTTGTACGCGGTTACTCCACTGTGCATGAATCTGCACCTTCTTTGATAGATTTGCATGGTGGACTAAACGGTTACTCATTTACAGTCATAAAGGACTAGCAATACCAGAAGAGGAAGATTGCTTTCCAGATTCAGCTTCAGGAATCGAACCCATTCTTAGCTCATTTTACCTAATGACTACAAAATTAGAAATCTCTATTACTTGTCTCTGTTCTCTTTGTGACAGGTTATGACCCTCCTCCATCTACGAACCCGTTATCACATATTAACATTTACTTTCTTCGTTGCATTTCCTATTAATGTCTCGAACTGAGTTCCCAGCGGGGGAGATCAGGAAGCATGCTCTGCCCGCGTGTTATTTATCAGTTCTTTGTATAAATCTTCATCTGCTACCTGTTGTCTCGTCACTTGTCGCTTTTCCTTCTCCCAATGTCTTCTTTTTATTTCAGTCTTGTCTGATTAGGGGCATGCACTCCATAAGTATGGGTGGTAGGAAACTGTCTCCAAACTTTGATTCCCACTCCTGCCACGCTTTC